AGAAGAAGAAGAAGAAGAAGAAGAAGAAGAAGAAGAAGAAGAAGAAGAAGAAGAAGAAGAAGAAGAAATAATCAGGACCTTCTAAAATAGGGGTTCCAGCCCCCACAGTGCCTCCTAAGTGAGGACCTCCAGCCCCCGCACTACCTCCTGAGTGAGGACCTCCAGCCTCCACACTGCTCCGGAGTGGAAGGTTAGAATCACCATTTAGCAGGTCAGGCTTCCAATCCCCTTGGATTCAGTGCCCTTTGCCCACCTTCATCTCCAAAACTAACTCCTCCCTCACTACAAAGAGATAACTCCAACTGCCTCTTTGCACTAAACCCTAGCATCAAGTCTATTGCTCTCCTGCCAATAAATCTCAGTACTGTTTTGCAGCTGCCATAGGTACAGGTGACAGAGAGGAAGGAAAGTAGAAAACTTAGAACATAGTGGTTTTTTATTTTCGAGATTTAATTTTATGTGTATGGGTGTTTTGCCTGCATGTGTATCTGTGTACCACATGTGTACAGCGCCCTCAGACGCCAGGAAGGGCATCAGATCCCCTGGAACTGGAGTTACAGATTGCTGTGAGCTGCCATGTAGGTGCTAGGAATTGAACCTATGTCCTCTGGAAGAGCAGTGAGAGCTCAACCACTATGCCATCTCTCCCAGGACATAGTACTCAGGGACATCCTGATGACCCAAGTCCATCCCTGGAAGCACGAATCAGCTACCACAAGTTGTCCTCTGACTTACACATGTGCACTGTGGTGGGTGATTACACATGAGCATCTGTATGCACACACAATACACACACTAAATACATAAATGTAATACATTTTGTTTTGCTTTGTTTTTTTGTTTTTTAAAGTCAGGGTTTCTCTGTAACTGCCCTGGATGTCCTGGAACTTGCTCTGTAGACCAGGCTGGTCTTGAAGGCAGATCACAGAGATCTGCCTGCCTCTGCCTCCCAAGTGTGGGGATTAAAAGCATGTGCCACCACTGCCTGGCATTGTAATATGTTATCTTAAAGGAGTGGGGCTGGAGAGATGGCTCAGCAGTTAAGAGAACTGGCTGGTCCTCCAGAGGACTGGATTTGATTTCCCAGCATCCACGCAACAGGTCACAGCCATCTGTCCTTTCGGTTCCTGGGCATCCAGTGCCTTCTGACCTCAGCAGGCTCCTGCACACAGTGATATGCATGCACACACTCAGATGTGCAAACACATGCAGCATAAAACAAAGAAATATAAAGTTAAACAACAACAACAAAGCCAGCATGGTGGTACATGCCTTTAATCCCAGTACTTAGGAGGTGGGTCTCTGTGAGTTCAAAGCCAGCCTGGTCTACATAAACAGTTCTAGGACAGCTAGGTGACAGAGTGAGACCCTTGTCTAAGAATAATAACAATAATGATAATAATAGGCTGAGTCCTGGCCTCATATTCATTCAGTCCCTATGGAAGCACAATGTATAAGAGAACTCTAGTCCTTTTTGTATTTTTGTTCCAAATGAGTAGGAGAAGAAGTAATTTGAAGTAATCTTTAATAAATTAAAGATGAGAACATTAACCATAAGGTTTTTAAATGCACAAGCATTATTTTCTCTTCCTTCCTTCTTTCCTTCCTTCCTTTATTTTTCATAGCTCAAGCTGGCCTAGAACTCTGTATATAGCCTAGATTGGCCTTGAACTTGAAGTGGTCCCCTTGCCTCAGTCTCCAGCCCTGGGATCACAGGTGTGAGGTACCATAATTAGCTGCCATGTGCTATTTAAACACCATCTCAGTCATCCCCATGCCTCCTCCCTCCCAGAAAGGGCAGAGAGCATGAGCAGAGGGAAGGCGGAGCCCCTACCTTTCAGCTCCTTATCTGTGTAATTGTGGGGACTGGTCATCAGTTCCTGCTTGAGCTTTTCCAAAAGGAATTTCACTACTGAAATATTCCAAGAGGACTTAATGCTGTCACAGAGGAGAAAAAAAAAAATAAGGCAGACAACTTTTGAGGAGCCAGAGGAGCCAGACACACCTAGACTGAACAAGCTTTGTTGTGAACCCCTTGGCCTGACAGAAGCCAGCACCCACCCCCAAGCCCACTTCCCTCTCAGCAAAGCACCCGGTGAGCTGTTTGTCCTTGAGAGCCCGTACCTTTCAGATCCATTGAATCTCTTGTCATTGGTGATGTGGTTATGCACATTGTGGACCAGTTTCTAGAGGAGGGAGAAAGAATCAGGTCAGGAGTAGACAGGAAAACTTTCCTCTGGTCCCTAGGGTAAAAAAGCATCGTCCCCGTTTGTGGGTTCTTTTCTGTCCCAATTTCTAGTTCCTAGGCACCATTTGTTTTTTGGGTTTGTTTATTTGTTTGTTTGTTTGTTTTTCAGGCAGGATTTCTCTGTGTAGCCCTGGCTGTTCTGGAACTCACTCTGTAGACCAGGCTGGCCTCAAACTCACAGAGATCTGCCTGCCTCTGCCTCCCAAGTGATATGATTAAAGGTGCGTGCCACCACCACCCGGCTTCTAGGCACTTGTCTTGATTAAGTTTTTATTGCTGTGAAGAGAAACCAGGACCACGGCGACTTTTAACTGTGGTGGCTCCCTACAGTTTCAGAGGTTTAGTTCATTATCATCACAGCATGGAGCATGGCAAACATGAATTTGGTGACATCTTGATCAGAAGGCAACAGGAAGTCAACTAGGAAACCTTAAAGCCGGCCCCAACAATGACGTACTTCCTCCAATAAGGCCATACTTACTTCAACAAATCCACACCTCCTGATAGTGCCACTCCCTGTGAGATTATGGGAACCGAATACATTCAAACTGCCACAGCACTATTTTTTAATATGTTCTTCCTTAACTAAAGAGCTCTATCTAAGGCTGTATAATTTTAGCTTTTCTTTTTAACCAAAGTGTCATGTACCCCAAGCTGACTTCAAATTTCCTGTGTGGTCCTGAACTCCTGCACTTTGTGCCTTTGTTACCTGGGATTATAGAGATGTGCCACCACACCCAGCTACCTGTGTCCCAGCTATCTGTGTATTTTGAAATTATCTATTAAAGTTGATGACCCAGAGGTCATGTGTGTTGGCACATGCCTTTATTTTTTTTAAGGTTTATTTATTATGTATAGTGTTCTGTCTGCATGTATACCTGCAGGCCAGAAGAGGGCACCAGATCTCATTCCAGATGGTTGTGAGTCACTATGTGGTTGCTGGGAATTGATCTCAGAATCTTTGGAGGAGCAGTTAGTGCTCTTAACCACTGAGCCATCTCTCCTAACCTCAGTATTCAGAAGGCAGAGGCAGGTGACTATCTAAGTCTGAGGCCAACCTAGTCCTCAGGGTAAGTTTCAGGACAGTCTGGAAAGAAAATTAAAAATTTTCTCAAGTCTGGGAAGTACCCTGGAGACAGCCGGCAGTTCCTTCCTTCCTTCCATAGCACCTGGAAAGCACCCTGGAGAAGCCGGCACTTCCTTCCACGGCACCAAGCAGCTCTTAGTTTTCCTCATACACATCCATTCCCTTGCTTAATTATACGTTTGTGTGTGTGTGCCTGAGTATACGTATGTGTATTATATGTATGCAGGAGCCCACAGAGGTCAGAAGAGAGGAAAGATCTCCTGGATCTATTGTTATAAATGGTTGTGAGCCATGTGAGTATTAGGAATTCAACCCACACCGTCCTTAACCCTGAGCCATCTCCCAGCCATCTGTCTCCTTTCTGAGCCAGTTTATTCTAACTGAACATTGGGTGGGGGCAGGATCTGATTATGTAGCCCTGGCTGTCCTGGAACTCACTCTGTATGGTCTCGAACTCACAGAGATCTGCCTGCCTCTGCTGCCTCCTGAGTGCTAGGATTAACGATGTGCCTGAATGAACATTTTTAGTTAAAGAGTTTTATTGGAGGCTAGAGAAATGGCTCAGTGGTTAAGAGCACTGGCTGCTCATCCAGAGGCCATGGGTTCGATTCCCAGCACCCACATGGCAGCTCACAACTGTCCTTGACCCCAGTTCAAGAAGTTTTGAGGCCCTTTCTGTCCTCTATGGCATGTATATGGTTTATAGACACATGCAGGCAGAACACCCATACACATAAAATAAAATACATTTTTAAATTTAGTTTTATTGGACCCAGCATGGTGGTGCATGCCTTTAATCTCAGCACACAAGAGGGAGAAGCAGGGAGATCTCTGTGAGTTTGTTCATACAGAACTCCAGGGCAGCCAGGCCTGCATAGTGAGAGACCGTCTCACTTCTGGTGTGGACTAAACAGCCTCAGTCTGGGGATCAGGCGTGAGCTCTGTGACAATCTGTGTCTGCCTCCAAGGGAGCACCAGAACCGAGACCAAGTCATCTGCTGGGACCAAGCCAGAGCCAGAGAGAGTGTTACTTCCCAGAGTGCAGCTCTGTGCTTGGGAATAAATCTGAAGATGGCGTTACCTTCCTTAGTCACCCCACATCTCTCACCAAGTCATAGGGTTCGTGCTGCAGCTGGCGCTTTCAACATTTTTAGTTGTTCTTTGTTTTTGTTTTTTCCAGACAGGGTTTCTCTGTGTAACCCTGGCTGTCCTGAAACTCTCTGTAGACCAGGCTGCCCTTGAACTCAGAGATCCGCCTGCCTTTGCCTCCCAAGTGCTGGGATTAACCACCGCCCAGTGACACTTTGAGTTGTTATTTTTTTTTAAGATTTATTTATTTATTTATTTATTATGTATACACAGCTTTCATTACAGATGGTGGTGAGCCACCATGTGGTTGCTGGTAACTGAACTCAGGACCTCTAGGAGGAGCAGCCAGTGTCTTAACCTCTGAGCCATCTCTCCAGCCTAACACTTTGAGTTTTAATGAAAGGTTTCAAATTTATATCTATTTCTGGTACATCTAGTTTTGTTCTTTTCTGATTATGTTTTCAGCCCAAGCCCCTGAAGTCAGTGGCAATTACGAAAACTGATAACCCCGGTGGTTTCTCCCCCATCTCAAGAGCTCACATAGGAAAGCACCGTCAGCTTTCAGTGGCTCCAGCCTCCGCTCTAGAAAGAGCACTGGTGTTCTATTAGCCTTAAGTTCCACATAGTTTTGTTTTACCACTTAGAAGCCAAGCATGGTGGCTCAGGAATGTAATCCCAGCATTTGAGAGGCTGGTACTGAAGAAACACCACAAATCTGAGGCCAGTCTGAACTACATAGTGAGCCACAGGCCAGCATGGATCACAGAGACATTGTTCAAAAAGACAAAAAAGCAGCGAGAGAGAGAAATGGCTCATCGGATTGGAACACTTGTTGCTCTTCCCGGGGATTTAAGTTCAGTTCCCAGCACCCACATGGTGGCTCATAACCATCTATAATTCCAGTACCAAGGAATCTAACACCCTCTTCTGATTTCCATGAACACTGTATGTATGTGGTACACAAACATACACCCACCCATATCCACAAACATAAAATAAAGTCTAGAATGATAAGATAAAACATTTTAAAACAAACAAAACCAGAGGCCAGCAAGGTAGCTGAGTGGGTAAGAGAATTTGCCACACAAACCCCGAAACCTGAGTTTGATTCCTGGAACCTGTGTAAATTAGAGAGAACTGACCCCATAGAGTTATCCTCTGACAGTCGCAGATCCTCTGACAGCCGCAGATCCTCTGACAGCCGCAGATTCTCTGTGACAAACGTGCTTCCCCATCATGTACGACATACTACAGCTCTCCCTCTCTGTAAACAGGAATGCAGCTCAGTTCATAGGGCACTTGCCTAACATGTATGAACTCTCGGGCTCCACGCCTAGCACTGTATGAACCAAGCATGATGGCACATACTTATAAACCCAACACTTGGGAGGAAGGGGCAGGACTAGAAGTTCATGGTCAGCTTCAACAACACAGAGGGTCTAGAGTCAGCCTGGACTGTATGAAACAGGACCTTTTTTTTTTTAAATATTTATTTATTTGTTTATTATGTATACAGTATTCTGTCTGCAGGCCAGAAGAGGACACCAGGCTTCATTACAGATGGTTGTGAGCCACCATATGGTTGCTGGGAATTGAACTCAAGACCTTTGGATGAGCAGGCAATGCTCTTAACCGCTGAGCCATCTCTCCAGCCCCGAAACAGGACCTTTTTAAAACAGGCTGAAGGGGCTGGAGATGGCTCAGAGGTTAAAAGCACTGGCTGCTTTTCCAGAGGCCCTGAGTTCAACTCCCAGCAACCACATGGTGGCTCACAAACAATCTATAATGAGAGCTGGTGCCCTCTTCTGGCAGAACACTGTATACATAATAAATAAATAAACCTTTTAAAAAGTGGGGGCAGGTGCCTGGAGAGAGTTGAAAACACTGGTTGAGGACCTGGATTCCCCAGCACCCACAAGTCCAGTCCTAGGGATCCAGCTCTCTCTTTTGGTTTTGGTGGGCACCAGGCTCACACACAGTGCACATACATATATGAAGGCAAAATACTTAAACACATAAAAATAAGAAATAAATCTTGCCGGGCAGTGGTGGCGCACACTTTTAATCCCAGCACTCGGGAGGCAGAGGCAGTCGGATCTCTGTGAGTTCGAGGCCAGCCTGGTCTACAGAGCGAGTTCCAGGAAAACTAGGACTGTTTCACAGAGAGACTCTATCTTGAAAAAAATCAAAGGAAAAAAAAAAAAAGAAAGAAATCTTTAAAAAACTGAAGCCCAAATGTAAGCAGTCACAAAGGAATAGGTGAACAATTTCATAGAAAGTGAGAAGTGTAACTTCTCAAAGAAAGAAAAGGAGTTACCTATCTTCTAAGACAAGGAGGTTGGAAGAGATCAGGTGATAAAAAAATCCAACCAGGCTTGAAGTACAAAGGGAAAGTACTCTAGACAGTAGAGACAGTAGCTGTTAAGACTGTAAAGGCTGCTGGCTCATCTATCTCCTGAGTGAGCTAAAAATAAATAGTCTTCCCCTAGGGTGGCTGGCATCTGCACCATTCCAAAGAGTCAAGGTTACTGGTCTGGTCCTTGGGGTCCACAGGGTCCCTTGCAGCATCCACAGGCATCCCATCAGATCCGTGAGCTCTTGGCTCCCTCCAGAGCTCACGATTACCACTGTAAGGCCCTATAACCATTCTTCCCCTGCAAGTCAGTAGTCTTGCTCAATAATTTGTTTTCCTTTACTTTTCTGAAATAGCCTTCCTTACTATTGTGCCAGGGCTGGCCACAAACTAACCTTGCAGCCTGGGCTGGTTTCGGACTCGGTATTCTCCTGCCTTGGCTTCCCAAGGGCTGGGATTACAGGAGTCCTCCACGTGTGTCTTCCCGAGTACCTTCCTTCCTCTTAACCCTAGTACTTAAAACTTAAACTACAGAGCTTGCTGCTTTTCCAGAGGACCAAGTTCAATTCCTAGCACTCACACTGGGACACTCGCAACAGCATATACCTCTGGCTCCAGGGAATATACCACCTTTGGGCCCCTGAAGACTCCTGCACACATGTGGTATACACACACATACATACAGATACAATTGAAAAACATTAAGAATCTATATTAAGATCCAGTTTGGACAGGTGGCAGTGGTGCACACTTTTAATTCCAGCACTAGGGAGGCAGAGGCAGGTAGATCTCTGAGTTAGGCCAGCCTGGTCTACAGAAAGAGCTCCAGAACAGCCAGGGGTGTTGTTACACAGAGAAACCCTGTCTCAAACAAACAAACAAAAATATCCAGTTTCAAGGCCAGCCTGGTCTACAGAGCTAGTTCTAGGACAGCCAAAGTTACACAAAGAAACCCTGTCTCGAAAAACAAAACAAACAAACAAAAAATCCAGTAGTGGCTGCACTTGCGTTTAATCCCAGCACTCAGGAGGCAAAGACAGGCAGATCTCTATGAATTTGAGGCCAGCCTAGTCTACAGAGCGAGTTATAGGTCAACTAGGGCTTATGTAACGAGCCCCTACCTCTTATTAACTGCTTTTAAATAAATAAGTAAATAAACTCAGAGTGTGGTGAATAGAGTGGTGTATATGTTTATAATTCCAGCCAGCACTTGTGAGTTCAAGGCTAGCCTCAGCTGTGCAGTGACTTTGAGGCAACTCTGAGTGTCACAAGATCCTGTTTCAAACAAACAAAATAAAGCCCCCAAGCCCCACAAAGCTCTTGAGCTCTCAGTTGATCCAAGAGACTATACTCATGCAGAAGAGGTCTCCTAGCCTCTGCACTATTGGCACGTTGAGCTGAAAGGGACATTGTGGAACATGCCATAGAGTACCTGGCATCTACCCATTGGATATAAGCAATCTCCCTCTGCCTACCCACCGGCGACAATAGTCTAAAAAGTGGCTAGTGGTTATACTGTCCCTGGGGGCAGCTCCTCTGGGCTGAGAACCACTGCTCCACAGGTAGTTCTTCATGGGACTCTCAGCTTCTCCAACAAAGTGACAGGCAGTCTTCCTAGCCAGTCGCTTCTTCCTGCCAAGGGCTCTGTGACTGGGCAGACGGCAGGAAGCTTGGTGGCTCAGCCTCTGTGGGACTTGACACTGCTTCAGGACCATCTAGCTTTCCCACAGGAGATGTCCCTCATGACTTACCCTGCACACTGGCTAAGATGTGACCCTTTGGTAGTCAGTCTGCTCAATCTTTTAAGACCTTCCCATCAGGACTATGAGAACACTAGAGAGAGAATTCTCTTCTCTTTAAAGGGGAGACACCATTCTATCTGGACAAGCCTAAAAGACGAGGCAATGGAAAAGGCTCTGCCCATGTTCAAGGTTATGGGATAATGTCTCTTTTTATCCTTCCCATTCCAGTAGGATTTAGGACACCATTCTATTTGGAGGCCTAAAGTCAACCCACTCTTTCAAAAAAATGATTGAAACCGAGCTCACTTACGGAGAGCACCAGATCACGCTTGCGCCTGGAGTTTTTCTGCCCGGTCCCACGGATCCTGCATGGAGAGCTAATAAATCCCATAGAACGGCTCAATTCCCCGGTGCTGCCCGGGCCTGACTCTTCCAGGGCATTGTCCGGTGCTGCTGAACCAAGCATGTCCTCAGGGCGAGTTGCTGGGAGCTTGGCTCCATTTTCTGGTCCTGTCTCTGAGGATGCCCTCTGGATAGCCAGTTGTGTGGCTGGTGAAAGCTGTTTGGCATACGCGGGGACCAACACTCGTTGTATTGCACCCTCAGAGGCTACATAATCGTCCGCCATCTAAGAACAAGAAGAACAGTCTATTAACAGCCAGATAGAGGAGGACCTGCTTAACCACCATTCTCGGCCAAGAGTAGTGAACAAAGTGGAGGACGAGGCCTGGTCAGCAGTCTGTCATGTCAACGGCTTAACAGGCAAGTCGGCAAATCATTCTTTTCCCCATGTTGGGTGTTTTGCCTGCGTGTATGTCTGTGCACCACATCCATCCAGTGCCTGTGGAGGCCAGAGGAGAGTGTTGGATTCCTGGAACTGGAGTTACAGACGGCTGTGAATCACCATGTGGGTGCTAAGGACTTGAACCTGGGTCCTCTGGAAGGGCAGCCAGTGCTCTTAGCTGCTGAATCATTTCTCCAGCCCTGGGCTGACTGTTCTTATGTGAAGAGGACCTGTAATGTTGGGTTGTTATCACAAAACAGCATCCATGAACGAGGCATGCTTTGACCTTCTCTGTCAAAGTTACTTTTGGCATATTCTTGAGTATAAGAAATGTATCTCGGGGGCAGTGGTGAAGCATGCCTTTACCTTTAATCCCAGCCCTCGGGCTGCAGAGGCAGGTGGATCTCTGAGTAGTACAGGGCCAGTCTGGGCTACAGAGCAGTTCCAGGAGAGCCAAGAAAACTGAACAGTAATGACAATAAAAAGGGGAAATGAGAGAAAAGATGAGAGCAAAGCAGGGAAATGCAAATGAAGAACCTTAGAGGGGAGTCACGCACACAACAGACACCTCCCCTACCCTCCAGCTCCATGGAGGGGCTGGTCCAGGGCAGGCCACACACCACAGTCTCAGTCCTGCTGGAGTCTGTGCAGTGAAGGACACACAGGGCAAGGAAAAGGAGGGCGGGAGCAGGCGGGGAGAAGGAGAGGAGCGGGAATTTTTGCAGCCAAGAAAACAAAACAGTGAGAGTGGGGGGAACCACACACGTACAGAAAGACGTGGAGGAGGCGGCTGAGATTTACAGACCCGTGAGCTGCTCTCCCTACTGTGAAATCTAAAAGCTAATTCCATCCTGTCAGCTTGGAAGCCTTCCCTGCCTGAAAGCATCCCCAGTGCAGAGCACCGCCTGGCCCGGGTGTCCTCCTGTTTCCTGTCTCGGGCCCAAGCCAGGCAGGCAGAGTGAGGAACAGTGACCATGACTACAAAGCGAAGCCTTTGGAAGAGCGACACCAATTGCTATGATAGGCTAGTGTCTAGGGGAGAGGTCTGGATTCTCGTTCCTCAGAGTCAGCAGATGGGCTGGGACTTCCCACCCTCTCGTTCACCTTGTGTGTTTGGATCTTTTGTTACTGTGTTGGGGCCAAAAGGGAAGAGAGAGGGCAGACAGGGAGTAGGGAGAGCTGAAGACACCCCTCTGGCTGCTGAGTGTAGTGCATCTGTAATTCCCTATCTCTGTGATCTCTGCCATCCTCCGGTCCCCTTCTCATCCCTGAGTGTCTTTCTGCAGTTCTTCTATGCAGTCAGGCTTTCCTTCTTCAGATGGCCCTGAGCACTGAAAAGCTGAAATAGTGCTGTGTATTTCTGTCTTTTTTCTGCCCAGAATATGCTCGATTTTCATCCTCTTCTACTCTCTGCCCCAACTACCACCACCACCTCCTCCTCCTCCTCCTCCTCCTCCTCCTCCTCCTCCTCCTCGTTCTTCTTCTTTTTGAGACAGGGTTTCTCTGTAGCTTTGGAGCCTGTCCTGGAACTAGCTTAGACCAGGCTGGCCCGAACTCACAGAGATCCGCCGGCCTCTGCCTCCTGAGTGCTGGGATTAAAGGCATGTGCCACCACTGCCCAGCATGAGTGCATATTTTTTAGGTATGAGTGTTCTGTCTGTATTTATACCTGCATGCCAGAAGAAGGTATCAGGTCCTATTACAGATGGTTGTGAACCACCATGTGGTTGCTGGGAACTGAACTCAGGACCTCAGCCAGTGCTCTTAACTGCAGAGCCATCTCTCTGCACCAGCATTTCTCTTGCCCTCTTAGATCTACCTTTCTTTTATGTTCCCTTATTCCCCCACCCCCACCCCGCGGCGCTCTACCCTTGCCCCTCTTTCTCTCCACACTTCATCTCTGCTCTGAAGCCCTTCTTGGCAAAATGAAGGCCGTGATAAAACATGAACGAGCCGTCTGTGCATGGCAGGCATTCTCGCCAGGAAAGGCGAAGCTGGTGGAGCAGCTGAGGCTGCTGTGGAAAAGATGCCATGTTGGAGCTATTGAAAAGATGGGGAAGCACCATGTCACTATCTGCACCAAAAACGACTTCCTGCCAAAAAGGCTCAGGGTGGACACAAGAGTGCAGGATATGATATCCCTGAAAGTGGAGGGAACTTGATGGGTGCTCTTCTGTTTTTATCTCAGATACAGGTGGAAGAATGGGCTAAAAAGTGAGAGAGGAGGGCATACGATTCATTATCCCCACGGGCAGATCAACCACAGGGGGGGGGGCGAGGCGAGGGGCGGGGGTGTTACTTACGGGGTTGAGCAGAGGGGCTCCCTCTACCGCAGCCAGAGCACATCCCGGGAGCCGCAGATCTCTCTGGGGGGCTGCGAAGAAGCCCAAAGGCCCCTGCCCCACGGTGGAGGCAGCCCCCAGCTGCCGCAGCTCCTCGATCACCACCTGCACACCACTGCCCACGCTATCACACTCCTCCTCCATCGCAGAGAGTGTCTTGTAGGCTTCCCCCGGACTCCCCTTGAGCAGTCCAGGCTCTTCGGGTGGTGGGCTGCGAGCCCGACTCTCCCCATCTTCATCAGCAGTGCACACTTTCCCCTGCCGTAGCTCACCCACTTCTTCCTGGAGCTGTTTTAACAACTCGTTGTTGGCCCGAGCAAGACCCAGGGCTGCCTCAGCCAGACCCACGGCCTTGTCTACCCGCTGGTAGATAATATGCAGGAGCTGTTCGGTGCTCTGAACTGCCAGGCCACTCCCAGTCACTGTGATAGGGGTGCTGGCAGGAGGATTTCCACCCTGAGAACCCGAGCTGCCCTGGCTAGTCTCACTCTTACAGGCACAGCAGCAGCATTTGGCTTCACTGCCACTGGGAGGGGAGAAGAGAATGGTGGCACTGAAGGACATAACTGATGGATGCAGAGAACTGGGTGCACTCGGCTGGACAGAGGTACCAGGGTTCCGGATGACCGGGTATACTGCCGGATGGCCTCACAAGCGTTCCAGATAACCAGGTACACCGTCGGATGGCCTC